CAAAAAAAAAAAAAAAAAAAAAAGTTTCTTAATAACCTAGTCCAAGGTTTTTTCTTTATTCACCAATCCTACTTTCGGTCCCTTCCAGCCACTCCTGATCCCTCCAGTTCCCAAATGGCAAGTGTGGTACCCAGATTTGGCAAACTGGCCTGTTTTAATCTTAGCTCCTCCCAGTAACAGAACCAATTCAGATGGAGTACGTATTTCATCCATATGGCTACTGATACCTTGAGGTAAAATGCCAGATCCTAAGGGCCAAATGTCTCTACTACACAGTAATGGCACAACCCAATGCCCATGCCCCTTTAATCACTTTCTTTCAAGTCTCTGGCCATTTGAGGAGCGCTCCTTTGCCCTATTCAACAGCTGCTCTAGGCTCAGGGCTTCACCACTGGCATTGGTGGTCCCCATCTCACCTGTACTAGTACCAGTCACCTGAAAATTTGCTAGAAACACTCAGACCTACTGGATCAGTCTGAGGGCAGGATTTCAGCATCTGTGGTTTAATAAACCATCCAGGTAATCTCTATCTGTGCTAAGGTTTGAGAACTCGGGGTTAGTGGTTCTTAATAATAAATACCCACTCGCTACCACTTAGGGACTTCTGGTTGTCACAAGGAGGGGCAGAGTGCGGCAGAGGTTCTCCTGGCATGCAGTGGGTAGAAGCCAGGCATGCTACACAATTCTTCACAGGGATTATCAGGCTAAGGACAAAGGCAGTATAAATCTCATTAAGGCAGATTTAACTTTTGTATTTTCCTAGCCCCTCATCCATCACCCAGTGTCTCTTATTCAATAATGTTCTCCTTTTTCCAGTCTGGTAATACACACAGCAGGCAGACACAGGCTTTTTTTTTCTTTTTTAATGACCAAAACAAAGCATCTAAAACCGCAGCTTCTGGAAGAACCACTTGTTCTTTCCTGTCTTGTATCTAGAAGGGAAAAAAGGGACATGAATGAGGAGAGGAATGGAAATAGTGAAACCATACTCAACCATTCACTGCCAAAGCCTACTTACCTCTCCTCAAACTTGACCTTGGCCTCTCGTCGGGCCTTGCGTTTAAGGGCAGGATCTCTGAAGACATCCTTATTGACGACAGTTTTGTCCAAGGGGATGTCCACAGAGTACCTGGGGACAAAGGTGGAGAGGAGAGGGAGGATTGGCCTACACATAGCCCAAATCTTTGTGGGACACTAGGGAAACTGGGTCTGCCTCCCGAGAAGCAATCATCAAAAGTCACGTCCTGATGACATTATTTGGAAATCTACACTTTTAACATTTACTGGATTCAAGTCAACAAAATGTAAAATCTAATGTTTCATTCTTTTTTTTTTTTTTTTGAGACAGAGTTTCACTCATGTTACCCAGGCTGGAGTGCAATGGCGCGATCTCGGCTCACCGCAACCTCCGACTCCTGGGTTCAG